GTTACCAGTTTTCGTTATCGGTAGCATAGTAGTTGTATTAGATTTTCGCGTGGATTTACGGCGTAAACGCCGTGTTCTATTCTCATCCAAAATTGTTCAAATTGAGAGCCCCGAGACGCCGATCTCGTGCGGGATGGCCGTTATAGGTTATGTTATAGAGCGACGTTGGTGTGAGTGAGACGGCGCGAGTCGCGCGCCCTTGCAATGTTAAACGCGATGTAGACGTTGTTCTGAGTCGCAAAAAATCGGTCTATTATTCGTTTGGTGTGTTCTCGTGTATGGTAGTTCGCCCGGCGCGTGCCGGCTGATATTCTCCCGTGAATTTGGTGACTCTGCATGATTTGGTATGCAATCTTCGAGATTATCTTTAGTCACATTGCGATGCTGTTTTGCGAAGTTAATTTTCGAGAGTCCGTATTCGCGGAAGGATTGTAAAGTATATCGCGTTCGTTTATTTGATCTCACTTTGCCACCGATAGCGCGTTATTAAATATGATGTTGTCGTGAGTATTGCGAAACGATTGGCTCTCGTGTGCCATCAATTAATGTAAATTTCATGTAGTCAAGAGTGACACGTCTTTTGTTTTCTTGTGGGTTCGCAGCGCTCTATATTATTTTGTTAATTTTTTTTGTTGCTGATTTCTCTACGGGCTGACCAAAACTTAGAGATGTCAAACCATTTATTTTATTTTTTTTTATTAATAAACCCGCTTATTGTTGCTTTGATACTGCGAGTATGATTTTCGTTTTCTCGTCGTAATCTTTCCTCCTAAATTTCCCTGTATCAACGCAGCCCTTGTCTTTTCCCCGAGACCCTGCCCCTCTACCGTCGATTGAGCTGGCCTAGCCGCGTAAGAGCGAGAATTTCCGGGATTTTCGCGTATGTTTCGCGTTTGGAAATTCGAATTTTTCGCGAGGTCGACGTCGCTTTTAAGGACGTCTGGCGCCCAACTTTCGTGTGTCGCGATTCTCGCTCGATCGCTTTCGCTTTCATTATTGTCATTATTCGACTGATTATGCTCATTATTTCTTTCGACTTGCGACGCGCAAGCGAATAACGACGCAACATATAATATTATATTATATAAATACAAGCACATGTACCATATTTGTAACTATATGAATTGGTTCTAACACTCATCATAATATCGGCTTGCCGCCATTTTGAACTCAAAATTGTTAAAAGATTTATATTTCAAGATTAATAATCCTAAAAACTTACAGTCTCTTTTCTTTTTAAGCGAGAAAAATGAGGTTTTACAACGATTGGAGTCCTATGTTCATCATATTTCGAATTACGTGAAGTCATATTATAAAATTTGCGCACGTATAAATGTATTTTTCTCGAAAAGGTGCAAGAAGGAGCAAAATATCAATGAACAGATAGTTTCCTGACAAGTTCCTCTGCATTTAAAAAAAAAAAATGGTTTCTTGGAACTCTTTGGAACTTTTTTTGTATACCTCACTTTTGAATGGATTTTGTACTTCAAAAAAGCGTTTACGAAGCATTAAGTTTTTTAATTTTAATGGGACAAATTTTTGAATATTAATAATAGTTTTTAATAGCTTTTATTACAAACAAATGCAAAAAAGAAACATTGTAAACAATATAAGCATTTATAATATATAGCATTGCTCTGATTGTTATCGATGATAACAATATACGTTAATTCTCCACAGTGTCTAAGTCTACGCATTGTTAATGTCCATATAAGCAGTAAACATTCATGGTTCGCTTTATACTTGAAATTAAATTGAAAAAAGCTTTAAACAATAATTAGAATCAGCTTTGAAGCCTTTTAAGCGAAAAAGTAATTTTACCATATGTCCGGGTTTTGATATGTTTCGACCCACTGTGCCCCGCCCTTAACTACCTCCGAACGCTCGAGCACACACGTCTCGAGCGCAGCTCATAACCGCAAGGTGTCAGAGCTACGGATTTCAACAAGCCTCATTCTCATCGTCGGTTGCGGCAGTCATTCAGAGGCACGGCGAGAACAACACATTCAAGGCCGCTTCCACAAGGAGGTTGCTACCGGAAGTTGTCAACAAAAGCGCGGCTACGCGATACCGGTAAGGAAAACTGTTCGCGGTAGTGCCAACGAAGTTCCTTGTTGCGTCTGTTTCAAGTAGGTTAGCTTACGATGACGTCCGCGCAGGACATCAGTGCGCTCAAAAAACAGAGCAATCGTCAAGGGCTCGTGCACGCGGATTCACACATACGTTGACGCGATTTCTTTTGCCACTCCGGCTATTGCTGCTCAGCTTGAAGAACGTAGAATCAAGTTAGACGAAAATTGGCCACAATATAACACAATACAAACGGAGATAGAGTTGCTTGACGAAAATGAGGGCAATGACCGGATCGGCTTCGAGGAAGCGTATTATTCGCTCTGCGCGAAAATTCGTGAACTTCTCAATCCATTAATAGCTTTGCGGGCGCAACCGATGTCACCGTCCACGTCGGGCGCATTCAATCGATCGGAGAATCAATGCAGTGTCAGATTGCCCAAGTTAAATCTTCCAACGTTTTCCGGTAAATACGATGAATGGTTCCCATTCTTCGATTCATTTAATTCAGTTATACATTTAAACGCGTTAATCAGTGACGTACAAAAATTGCAATACTTAAAGTCTTCACTTACCGGTGACGCGAGTGGCGTGATCAGTGCATTGGAGATCTCCGCAGCAAAATATCAAATAGCGTGGAATCTTCTAAAGGAACGTTATGATAATAGACGGATGATCGTTCACACGCACATTAAAGCAATATTAGATTTACTCTCGCTCGCCAAGAAAGATTCAACCAAGCTGCGTCGAATCGCGGACGGGGCAATCCAACATGTACAAGCCCTCAAGGCACTCAAATGTCCCACGGCGCACTGAGACGATCTGTTAGTATACATTCTAACCTCAAAATTCGATCCACGCACATTACGAGAATGGCAGTCATCATTGACAGGTACGGAAACTCCCACATTCAAACAGTTTCACAATTTTATTTCTCAACATTGTTTAGTGTTAGAGACCACAAACAAGGTTAGTCTCGCTTCCAAGGACACTAACAAGCATTCACAAACGAACGCAGAACGATAATCCACATGTGCAGCCACAGTCAAATCCAAGTGCAACTTTTGCAAATACATCCCATGTATTTTCTGCAAGGAGTTCTTGGCATTACCGATCAAGCAAAGGGCGGTAGAGGTACGCAATGATAAACTTTGTGTCAACTGCCTCCGCTCTCCGATGCATCGGAGGATCACTCCGGCACTTCCGACAGCACAAAAGAATCAAGCAAACAAAATTTTACAACGACTGTGACGACACATTCGTCGAACAATCAAGGCAAGGATCACATCATGCTTTCCACAGCCGTGGTCAATGTCATTGCCTCCCATGGCACATCGCATCCATGCCGAGCTTTACTAGAGTCTGAATCTCAAGCAAGTTTCATTTCGAAACAACTCGCCGTAACTCTTGGCTTACCGCTACGCCCGCTAAACGTCACGATATCTGGTGTCAACAGTACCTCATCAAATGCTACAATGACGACCAATGTAACACTGCAATCCAGTGTTGTGCCGCTGCTTGCGACACGGGATTCGGGATCCACCAAGGATTCGGGAGCAGCCAATAATTATTAATCACTTTTATTTTTTGTAACTTTTATATATTAACAATAAACTTCATTCAATTCACTTTAATACACAAAGATATTATTTCACATAAATCACTTACACTACGCGTGTCGCGATCTAATTTTTAATTCGTGTTCGAGCAGAGTAACGCGCTACACTTTAAAATTACTGACTCCACTCTGCATCGGTCTTCTCATATTTATTTGAATTATTGAGGTCTCTGACCTTCATATTCGGCGCTTCTCGTCAGCGTTCCGCTAATCGGTCGAGGGCGTGATCGCGTAATCGCGTCGCGCTCGCGGTTTTAATATTATATTAAACTTATTATTAAACTTATTTCGCCGCGCGTTCCGGTAATCGGTCGAGGGCGTGATCGCGCAATCGAGTTGCGTTCGCGATTCATTTATATTATTAATTTATATTATTCTTATTTCTCGTCTTCATTATTTCTCAGTTATGGCGCAATTGTCACTTGTGCAATTTAGCACTCGTGACACCAGATTAAATTCTTATTGTAGGATAGACTGTATAGTAACAGAGCGGGTAATTATTCACTTTAGGGGATCCATCTCCAATGACCTTGACCTTGACATATGTTGTCAAGGTCATGACCCTGAGTAACCTCCAGTAAGTTTTAGCCGTCGCTCGCCCTTCGTTAAAAAGTTATTAACAATCATAGTTTTAAAATTAACATCGATATATAATACATATATGCTATTAAGTACTATTTGACACCTTCCTTTGTTCAGGAACATTAAACTTTCCACGCAAAGTAACTTTTACCT